GGGGGGGGGGAGGGGATTGGTATTCCAGGCCAAGCTATTACAACAGACCAATGCAACTAGATTCGAGAGCATGATTGCGTTCACCACCTTATCTCAACATAATATATATATATCATGTTGCAGCATCTTCACATGTCAAGCTATTACGTAAATGCAGCGAAAGTTCTTTACAGAAAGTCTGTAAGCAATAAGCCATATTGTTTACAGTCTTTGAGCTTTGATTGGCTGTATTAGCTGGCGTACAATCCATTCAAATTGCTACATTTCGTGGCTATTGTAGTTAAGGTATAAGATGAAGTTCGTAATAGCTTGAAGATGTTTCTGCATTTGAAATATTTTGTTATCAACTAGAAATATATTGCCGTTATGTTGGTAGCTTCGTGTACTTTTTCAAAGAGTATATCTGTCTGAGTGTCTGCAATTCTTTCAATTCTCAGGCTATTGAGCACTTTGAAGTGAAGAACAGACAACCAGGGTACTGAATCAATTAGTGTCATACGTAATTTGAAATTTCAGTAAAAACGCAATTTATTATCACCACTATGACAAATAGGGATTTCGATATTCATAATAGACAGCTCGACAAAAAACTATACTTATTTCGAATGAGAGTTTGAATAAACTAATTTTTACCTTTAAAATCAACTAGGATCAAAAATTTGATATATATTGATGCTATTCATTTGCAATATTGATTTTTGATAAAACGAATGGACATCAAGACTTTAATATTTACAATTTTAGACATCAAAATAGTCTAAGCCTCAAAAACTTAAGATGCTAAAATATCAATAGGTTCAATGGGTAAAGGTACTTACATTACCTGTAATTTCTATTACAAGGGACACAACTTGTTATAGCTTTGTTGAAGCTATTCAGGCTATTCGATATAGTGCTTTTCATGATGGCAGGAAAAATGCAGTAGGATTTCTATTCTAATAACCAACGCATCGTTTGTCGGCGCATGCAAAGTAGCACGATATGGAATTTGAAGAAAAAAGAATTGAACTTACTGAGCTACGGACCTTGGCCTATATTATTTTTAAAAGGAGAGGTTCACCATTTTCGGTCTTGAATATATGAAAATAGTCTTAAGAAGCACTAGAAATGTACAAAGATTGCAAAATTCTTTCAAAAATACCTCAAAGAATTCACATTCTATTTTTATATTCTCTTTTCTATATGGCAGTCTCAAAAATTTAACATTCAAACCACTTTATTTTAGGGATTATTGCTGTTTAGGTCAAACCAGAAGAAGAAAAGTATCTTAGAGCAAGAAAAGTTGCATGTGCAGTAGATACATAAAGATGCGAATAGAAGAGGTATGGTGTCCGGTGCGGTGTACGGTGTGAGGTTATCGATACAATAGAAAATAGTAGAAGCGAATCGTGTCCGCATCATGTCCGGACCAGTACAAGTATGTTCACTTCTGTTTTGCACTGTATCGATAATCCCACACTGTACACCACACCGCACACAGTATACCTCGTCTATTCCCACCTTTAGGCGGAAGTGTGGTTGGACACAACGTCATGCCGCCCTTACCTTCAAGTCATCCATACTGAAAGGATCCAAGTTGAGAGTGGCTGATCAGGTTTGGCATTGGTAAGTCCACAAAGATGAAGGTATCACCCCTCCTTACTTGGACAGCTGGAAGTAGACGAGGCTGAGATGCTATCCATGATAACTACATTCATTGCTACCTGCCTTGGTTATACAAAGTTATTGACATGACCCCACGCATGTATCTAGAGTGTTTACAAGCAATTGTGGACGGACCGATGGACGGACATGGGAGACGGTAATATACGCCCCCATTTCATGTATAAAAATCGAAAAATATTTAGTATGAGTTCTTGAAATGCCCGTAAACACTCTTGATTGCGCAATTCTTGACAGATTTTGATGAAACTTGGTGAGAGTGTTTGTGATCACCCAAGCATGAACGTTATTGAAAATCAAGAAAAATAAAAAAATAATTACTATGAGTTATTGCCTATTTCTTGAAAACGCATTCATTTTTAACTTTAGGAGGTTCAAATATTGACAGAATTTGACGAAACTTGGTGTGTTTGTAACCCAAGGATGAGTTATTGCCCTTGTTCTTAAAAATGCGTTCAAATCTTAGCTTGTAAACACCCTAAAGGCACAATTCAGCCAAGGATGAACCCTATCTAATATCAGAAGAATCGAAAAATATATAGTATGAGTTATTGTAGTTGTTCTTAAAAACACGTTCAAGTTTTAGCCTGTGTAACAGTAGATACAAGGGGGTACTTTTTTCTTATGTAAGGCTTAGTAATGAGGACAGTTAAGTGATTGAAGGGAGGTAACTCTGTTTAGTAAAAGTTGCAAGTGCCTGTGTTACAAAAGGTGACAAATGCCTGTGTGCAAGGGCAAGTCACTCTTATGTCAGGATGTTCTCTTCCATGTGCTCCTCAATGTTGATAAAGTCTATGAAATCCTAAGTTTTGTTTCTCTGCTCCCACAGGTATTATTTTTTTGTAGGAGGCCAATTATGTTGTTGTCAATCTATAAGACATAGGTGCACTACACTATATCAGTGTTTAAAGCCTTCACCTCTGAAAGGCTATATTTTCTACAGTAGGCCGGCCTACCATACACGTTGGATGGCGTGGGGGTAGGCCACTCCACGTGGTGAAGGACAACCTTTTTTACATTGTGCCTTCGCATTTTGTCTATGTGTTTTTCTCATGTAATATACTTATATACAAAATTTGATGTTCTTAAGTTGTATATTAGTATGTAGACTCTAATGACAGGAAGTTCTCTTCGATGTGCTCCTCTCCTCCCACAGATGATCCTGTAGACGGTTGAACGACACTGCTAGTTTGTTGTAAACGGAGCTGTAGAAAGGGGGTGATATTGGTTCCAGTTAGTTGCACAATGTTATAGTGCCAGTGTTTCGCCTGTTTCAAATGCCTTTTAACACTATGGTATAGACATTGACATTGTTAAAAATTGACATTGATGAAAGTGTGAAAACTCGTCACCAAGCTATCATATTGGGTTGTATCCATTGATTTTCTTCACCTGGAGACATGTAAAGGAGGATATCAATATATATTACTGGTTGTGGATCATTTCACTCGCTATGCTGTTGCATATCCTACCAC